GGCGGCGAGTCGGGGGGGGGGGATCCTCCCATCCATGTACACCGAAAACACGACAACAACAGTGCCAACAGCGTACGGGAGCACGAACAAACGTGGCACGAAACGGCAACTGTACCTTGGGGTCCTGCAACAGAGCAACCTCCATTTCCATGACCGTGGGAGCGGTGTCCGCGATGAGGGTCGTGGGGAGATCGGTCAGGAAGTTCGCTTCGAAATTCTTGATCACGGCGTGCACCTGTGGTTGCAGTAAGTACATGGACAAAAATAGCACATAATAAACATCAGTACTCCGACGGTGATGGGGCGGGAGAGTATCGAGGAAGTAATCCTGGGCGGTTACGATCACTCTCGCAAAGTAAAGAAAAAAACGAAGACAGATGTGCGACGAGCGAATGGAGGGGCTAGGGGAAGGCGTTTAGCGGTTATCGGGTTTGCAACTTTGTCACCGTACTGCAGTTCGTGTGTACACGGAGGGGAGAGAGTGCTGCACGCTTCTCGCGTTGATAATCAAAGGAAAAAGTACCGCAGGAGGGGTATGGAGCGGGGCTCAGAAACATGAACCCTTCTGTGTGATAACCACGGGTCCCAGCAAACGGGACAAGTGCTTTGAGCGCTGACTTGAAGTGAAGACAATATATATATCCCGATGCTGTCGACCGGTTTACGTGCAACCTGAGCAGTCTGGCAACATGTGGAACAGTCTGAGGAAGGGTCCACGCACGTACCTGGAGGTTCGCGATGGTGGGGGAGTTGCCGACGAAGAACTTGGAGGACTGGTTAGTCGCAAGCTTGGCGACAAGCATTTCCACCAGGGTCTTGATCTGTTGGTTACAAGGGACGATTCGAGTCGGGATAGCATGGTCAGGGACACTACTGTAGAAAATCGTTGGGGTGTAGTACGGGGTACCTGGTGAGCCATCAAGGGCTGGGGAAGGACAAGCGCGATAGCTACCACCGGGAAACAGGCCATGGATAGGTCACCACGAGGACCATCAAGGCCATCGTTCTCGAGCATGAGAAAGGCTGGCGTCGACCTCTATGGGAGCGGCTATCGTACCGCCGTCCCGCACGTTGTCCACCGAAACGGTTCGTCCTCTCCGTTCCCGTCGGATCTACACTGTACTCACGGAACCGCAGTCTTCGATGCCTGTTTTTGATACTTTGACTATCTACTCGCGCCTCATCCTTGTCATCCACCTAATGGATATCTCTCTTGCTTTCGCGTATTCATGCCTTTGGCACCGCCCACCACCCGATTGCGTTCACCAGTACGATTGTTGCGGCACACGACGATCCACACCCACCTTTCCCTCGAGCACTCCCTTGGCCACCGTGTCGTCCGTCTGGCCCATGCACTTGAACATGTTGGTCAACACGTCCTCCGCAATCATGACGATCTCATCCACCTGCCGTGGACACTTGTTGACGAGCAAGCGACACGACACGTTTAGTGTTGGGTGCGACAACGAGGGAGAGAAAGGAAATGATCAAACTAGAGAGAGAAGGGGGGAGAAATCGAGAGGGGGCGTACAAAATCAAAACAGAAGGATGCAGTAGTAGCAGTAACAATCTGCGAAACCAACGGTACCAGACGCCAAGCTCCTTCTGGGACTCCCCTCCCCATTCTCTCTCGTCTGTCTGGCTCCCTTTCTCTGTCTGTCTCTGCCTCTGTCTCTCTGTCTCTCTTTGTCTCTGTCGGTCTGTCTCTCTCCAACACTCGATACATCTCTACACGCGGCTGCCAAGATCCTCGCTGTCAGGGTTAAGGCGGCGCACAAGAGGCGAACTGAACCCCCTCCGTAGCCCTATTTATTATTGTTTCAATATATAACAAGAAACACCACTCCACTACCCTCCCCTCTCTCGTTCGGGGGCGGGGGGGGGGCGGGCAGGCGGTCAGACGAAGAACCCTTGTCGATGTTCAGTTTCTGGAGGGCGGTCAGACGAAGAGCCCTGAGTATACATACCTCGAGCGCGGCGAGAGCATCGTCGGGGTACAGGCCTCCCATCTTGCCGGCATACCGGAGGAGGGCGGTCGACTGGAAGTACTCGGCATCGTCCATCTGATGACGATTGTCAATAGCATTAATTATACCAACCGGCGGGACGGCGGGGGGGGAGGGAGCGTGCTCATGTATTGCGTGCCTTCGTTGTTATCATAGACCATTGGCCACGCATCCTCGAGAGGACGGAGCACTGTTCCCACTGCCGTAGGTATCTGCGGGGAGAGGGTGTGATGAAGGAACACCGGCGGAAGGTCAAGTACGTGCATCTTTTTCGCGCCATCCATCCGTCTGAGCTGGCTTCTAGCAAGGCCGGGAGCTTACAGCACTAGTGGGGTTTGTCGCCAAGCATCATGGCCCAATGGTATCGCTGTACATGAAAGGCCCTATCAACCACCACTTCGTCTCAACGCCACACGCGCACGCCTCAGAAAAGAAGATGCCAAAGAGTTCTGATTTGTTTTTGATATGAGGGCTCCGGCGCCTGTCACGGTCTCCTTGTGCATCACGTGAAACATGTGCAGCTGACTTTGGTTGGAGACAGCATAAATAGTTCGAGGTAGCTGTGCATTCTTAGGAACCAATACTTGTACGAACACAGAAAAACTACCCATTCGAGATATGACGACAGTCTAACGCCTCTCGAAGCTCGGAGAAAGTCCTGCAGAACGAAATAATACGCGATACGGCGAGCGGACACACTGGTCTGGAATTATCGCTGAAGTCTATTGTACGCAGCGTACTATCAACGATACATGCTAACTGGTCTGTGTGCCAACAACGCGAAGAGCCACCACGAAGAGGCCGCCACACGATACATCTATTAACTCGACCGACTACCGACGCATCAATAGTTCATCTACGAGCTCAGCTGGCTTGTCTCACCTCCAGGACAGGCAGACCCTTGCCCGCCCACTTGCAGGCACCGTGCTCAGAGAACCCCATCGTGTTGTCCACAAAGTCCTTCCCACCGTAGGCGAGCGCAACACCGGTAGCCTCCCCCCGGCCGGGAGTCCGAAGTAGTGGAGGGTGGCGGTGGAAGGCATCTTTCTTGTTGTCGTCGGACCTGTGTTGGGTCAGGGTTTACGGGCAGGAAGGATCCAACAGGGAGGTACGGCACAAAGAGCGGCCCAGGGGGACAACAAACGGACCGAGCGGGGGAGAGCGAGACGACAGAGAAGGGCGTCCTGTATATGACACAAGATAACGCACCCCCTTGACCAATTTTCGAAGCTCGATTTCTCAACTGCAGGAACATGTCACAGCGCCGAAAACGGCGGCGTTGAAACCGTCTTGTCAAGAGCTTATGGAAAATATATCGTTTCGTGCATCCGCTTCGTCGTGGAGTAATCGAGCTTTGAAAATCGGTCCAGGGTGTGCGTTATCTTGTGTCATATACGGTATTTGCAAGGACGGCGACAGTGAGAATGGCCACAGCATCGCACGACTAGCCGGGCACATGCGACCTGCCGACTTCTAAACCTCAGCAAGCAGCGAGAGGTCACGATTTGCACAGCAGCTTATTGTACGCTGGGTGAGATTTACAACTTGTGTCGGGGTCGCTGCGTGCCGTTGGTTGTTCGTTGTTCTGTTCGCGCATCGTGTATTGATGCCTGCTAACTGCTGCACATAGTTACCGCGAACGGTGTATACTGTGACGTGCTTGTTGGAACTCTCATCTCGGAGCGCGTCGATCACATGCCTCTCGTATGGGAAATGGCTGTCGTATCTGACTGCTGAGGGTCGGTGTCTACTAGTCTATACGTACAACCCGTCATCATGCCGTCATCATATTCTCCCTTCTTCCCCTCGCTCCTCGACAAGCTTTTGCTTAGACATGGGTTGTAGTGAAGGGGGGGGTCTTTCTGGCGAGCAGGGCTAGACTCACCCTCAAGGGATGACCGAAACCTTCTTGCTGCTGCGCATATCCGCCGCGAGGCATGCGC